GTTGTTTGGCGGGTCCGGGCTGGGGATTCGAACCTGACAGCTTAGGTGTACGTGGCTGGAGCCTTAGCCGGTTGAGCTATAGGCGCCGAGCCTGCCATCCAATCTTTGATAAACCAAATAAAAGCATACAGTGGGGAAAAGAATCCCTATTCAATAGATGGTGCTGGGAAAACATGAAAAAGACTGAAACTGGACTCACACCTTTCACCACTTCCAAAAATTGACTCAAGATGGATAAAAGATTTAAATCTAAGACTTGAAGTGATAAAAACCCTAGAAGGAAATGTGGGAAAAACTCTTAAGGATATCGGCCTGGGAGCTCGGCGCCTGTAGCACAGTGGTTACCTGTGCTACAGTGCTGGCCACATGTATCAAGGCTAGCGGTTCAAACCCAGCCTGGGGCCAGCTAAACAACAATGACAACTGCAACAACAACAAAAATAGCTAGGCACTGTGGCAGGTGCCTATAGTCCTGAGGCACAAGAATCGCTTAAGCCCAAGAGTTTGAGGTTGCTGTGAGCTGTGATGTCATGATACTCTACCTAGTGCAACAGCTTGAGACTCTGTCTCAAAACAATAAATAAATAAATAAAATAAAATAAAAATAAAAATAGAAAAACTGAGGCAAGAGGATAGCTTGAGCCTGAATTGAAAGTTGCTGTGAGCTATGATGCCATAGTGCTCTACACAGGGCAACAGCTTGAGACTCTGTCTCAAAAAACAAAAAAAGAAAGAAAGACAGAAAAACTCAATTAAATTCAAGATGAAGGAGGGAGATGGAGGAAGTGGATGTGTAATAAAAAAAGAAAACAAATAGAGGTTTTCTACCAAAGAACCCTGCCTTGACACTCAGCATATGAGCCCCAACATGACTCACATCTCTAGTTCATGTTTTTGGTATTCCACTTAAATACTCATATGAAGAAACAAAGAGCTGGTAGGCTGGGTGCAGTAGCTCACGCCTATAATCCCAACTCTTGGGAAACCTAGGTGGGTGGATTGCCTGAGCTCACAAGTTCAAAACCAGTCTGAGCCAAAGCAAAACCCTGTCTCTCAAAAAAAATTAGCCAGACACTGTGGCAGGTGTCTGTAGTCCCAGGTACTTGGGGAGGCTGAGGCAAGAGGATCACTTGAACCCAACAGTATGAGGTTGCTGTGAGCTAAGACGCCATAGCATCCTACCAAGGGTGACCAAGCGAGACTCTGTCTCAAAACAAAAAAAATAAATAAAATAAGAACAAGCTGGAAACCTCATGGAGAACTGCCTTAGTTTCTATAAAATAAACCTCATTTTACCAGAGCTATAAGTTCACATACAATAAGCCATTTGCCTGCTTTGCTCCAGAACAGCCCTCTGACTAGCACTTGTTCTGGAGCAATGCTCTAAAGCAGCAATGACTGTACAGTTGTGAAGGGAGAAACAGTGCTCCTTTTATGAGTCCACAATGATGACAAACAGACTACCCACAAGGATCTACCTTGGCAGTAATCTCTATATAAAATCCTTTTCCCTGGGCTTGGCACCTGGGCTCAGGGGCTAAGACTCTAGCCACATAAACCAAGGCTGGTGGGTTTGAATCCAGCCCGGGCCTACCAAAAAGCAGTGACAACTACAACCAAAAAATAGCTGGGCGTTGTGGTGGGCACCTGTAGTCCCAGCTACCTGGGAGGCTGAGGCAAAAGAATCACTTAAGCCTAAGAGTTTGAGGTTGCTATGGGCTGTGACACTATGGCACTTTACTCAGGGTGACAGCTCAAGACTGTCTCAAAAAAAAAAGACTTTGGCTTGGCATCCGTAGCACAGTGGTTACAGTGCCAGCCAGATACACTAAGGCTGGCGGGTTTGAACATGGCCCGTGCCAGCTAAACAACAATGACAATTGCAAAAAAAAAAAAAATAGCTGGGTGTTGTGGTGGATGCCTGTAGTCCCAGCTACTTGGGAGGCTGAGGCAAGAGAATCACTTAAGCTCAAGAGTTTGAAGTTGCTGTCAACTGTGACGCCGTGGCACTCTACCAAGGGTGACATAATGAGACTCAGTCTCACAGGAAAAAAAAAAAAAAAGAGCAGGGGCACCAGAAATGAGGACAGCAGTACCTCCTTCGGGGGACAAGGGAATCCAGGATACCTCCAAGAGAAACTCACCTTTCCGAAGAACCCGCTTCTTTGCTCGAATATCTGTTTCCAGCTCTGCTGCTCTGATATAAATCCTAACAGACTGTGGGAGATGCCGGACAGCTTGGGCCACCACAGCCTTGGCAGTGTCCCCAGGCTGCAACCTGGCTGCTTCTAACCACACATCTTCACTCTGTGAGGGAAAAGGAAAGAGCAGAAGGGCTCCAACATACAGACTGGAGCCACATGGGAAAGGCACATGCCTGTGGAGCAGAATCTCAGGTCCCTAGGCTCTATGAATGTCAACCAGCTTGGCTTCAGCATGCCCACACTAGAGCTCTCCACTGTGCTAATGCTCAAGAATACAGAAACCATATCTGAGTAGGGGACACATGCAATGCTTTGTGAAAAATACAATATGCCCAGCAGGATACACTCAAAGTAAAAGCAGAAACTGTGCCTGTGCCTAGGAAGTTCTGACTTGTACCTACTGTCCTAGGATAATTACTCATAGGACCCCTTTCACTAGCAAGAATATCCAATCTGAACAGTAAAGTGCATGGGCACTTCAGAGAATTTATAGTACTTTTTTTTTTTTTTCCAGAGTCTCACTTTGTTGCCCTCAGTAGAATCCCATGGCATCACAGCTCACAGCAACCTCAAACTCTTGGGCTCAAGTGATCCTCTTGCCTCAGCCTCCCAAGCAGCTGGGACTACAGGCACCCCCCACAACACCCAGCTATTTTTTCATTGCAGTTGTCATTACTATTTAGCTCGCTCTGGCTCAGGCTGGTTTTGAACTAGTTAGCTCAAATAATCCACCCATCTCAGCCTTCCAGAGTGATGGAATTACAGGTATGGGCCACCACGCCCGGCCTCATTTTATAGTACTTTTTAAAGCTTGTCTAATCACTCTTCCTCCAAAAACAAAAATGCTATGCTATTCTTTTAAGAGTTTTTACCAGCCATTAAATTTCTTACATTAGGTGGGTGAAGAAATGACTAATTTAGCTCTTTCTGGTTAA